CAAAATCATCAAAATGAAAACCTGGGGTATCGTCCCATGTATTACATTAAATAGAACATAAGGGACTCCTATTGATGTTCTCCAGGAACACATAAAAGTAAGGGTTTTAATAGGCTGTCATTTCTTTTGAGGTGTTTGTGTTTTGCGGTAAACCTCAATAAGAGCCGTGCAGCACAGCATTCTCACCTAAGCAAGAATGATGTAACACCCCCAACCCCCCTGAAGTTCCCTTTTCTCTGTATCAGAGCCATGTGAGTTATGGAGGCTGACTGCCTCGTTACCATTTTTATTAAAGTTAATGAGCTGTCGTACATTGACTGGCTGGTGTAAATTTTCCCACGTGTCCCTTTTTAGTGACCTTAGAATAGAACTGAAGGCAAAACTTTTTTTTTTCATTTTGGATATAACCCCTGTCAGTTTTGGCATTGACATCTGTGTCCCACTAGGGAGACTTCTCTTCACTTCCTGTCCACTAGCCACAACAGGAAGTGAGAGGAAATTCTTCCAAAGTGAAGTAAATCCCTGGCAGGCACAAAAACTACTGTCCCCATTGGAAGATTTCCACTTCTATTCCTGTTCTGGTGACCACTCAGCATTGAAAGTGACAGATAATTCCAAATTTTCACAGTGTTCGAATCCCTCTCCACTCTTAAAAAAAAAAAAAAAAAATTGCCTTCAGTTATATTTTAATTTATGTATTGTTTTGCTGTTAAAATTTCTTTAACTCCAGTTGTTCCTACCCTACCACCTATGATTATTTCTGACATGTCATGCCCCTAATGCATCTTCTTTCAATTCCCATATTCATGAGCCTTCCCATTTTGTCGGGTCATACTTGAATATATTTCCCTGCAGACCCTCATTCACAGAAAAAAGAAACAAGGAAGTATTTTCAGTCTGCAAAGTGTAAAATCAGAAGTCACTGTGGGAGCTCTCTACTCCGAGGTAAGGAATCTAGCAGTATTCCATCCTCCCTGCTGCACAGTAGAGTAGCTGTGCCTTCTGCACCTGTTCTTGTATGCATTTATACTAGCTGTGCTTCACAGTGCTGGATAAAATGGATATTTCTCAATAAGTGCTATTGGTTTCTTCTGTAGTAGCCGCAGTTTTTATGGATTGCTTTACTGTTCTAAGGGGCAAACTTTACACCAAACATGTTAAACCACTTCCCATCCGGCCGTTGTATTTAAACGGCCGGATGGTGGCAGTGCAGGGTTGGGTGGCCATTTATAAGCCACGCTGCTTGTGTGCGCTCCCTGGGAGCGCGCAGCACCGCGATCCGGTGCCCGCTGTGTCCTCCGGACACAGTGGAACACCGATCGTCGGATGGGACCTCTGTACAAGGTCCCGATCATGTGATCATTGATTGGCCAATCAGTGATCACATGCAGAGTAGTAAGCAAGATGTCACTTGTGACATCATTGCTTACTACGTGTGAAATCTGTGAATGATCACAGAGGTCACATGGTACAAGGCTATTCACAACAGCCTTGTACCATGTGACAAGCTGTGACCAATCACAGCTCACTCAGTAGTTCTCAATGGCTGCAAGAATGTAGCTAGAGAGAAGGAAAAATGATTGCTTTTACATCCTTTATGGGTGTAAAAGCAATCAGCGTTAAAAAAAAAACAAAAAAAAAACAATCTTCATCACCCCCCACAAGTAGTACAGTGTCATGGTGACACTGTACTGCTAGGGTGACAGTATGTAAAAAAAAAAATAAATAAAAAAAATAAGAAAAATGTTTTAAAAATGATAATTTTTGGTTATAAACTAATTTGGGTTATTTTTTTTTTTTACTAAAAATATAACGGAATAAATTTTGGCCAAGATTTATGTTGAAATACTATTTATTTGCAATTTTATAAGAAAAACACTTTTTTCAAAATTTTTGGACTTTTTTAATTTACATAGCAAAAAAAAAAATAAAAATCCCAGTGGTGAATAAATACCACCAAAATAAAGCTTTATCTGTCTCAAAAAAAAAAATGCTAAAAAATTCATATGGGTACAGTGTTGCATGACCGCGCAATTGTCATTCAAAGTGTGATAGCACTGAAAGCTGAAAATTGGCCTGGACAGGAAGGGGGTGAAAGTGTCCGGACTGGAAGTGGTTAAAGGAAATCATCAGAGTACCACGTGAAATTTTACATTATTCAATATATTAATTCTATGAGCACACAAGGCTTAATTCCTATTTAGTAACATTGGGGCTATTGTTTTCTTGGAGGAAAAACTGGTTTTGTAGCTTTGAGCAGAATTTTAGATCTAGCTTTAGTGTTAGATCTGCAGCTTAACATGCCAGCAGAAATGCTCACTGTTTTGTGTTGCTCTGTTACCACCTGCTGGCTGCTTTTATATTCACAGACAACCTTCATTCCTCAAATGTATTGATGTGAAATGTTTGAAGAGAAGATCTAGTGTATTTCAGTGAATGTACATTTTCAGTTGTAATTGTTGCAACTGTGGTTAGGCCTTAATCACACTTGAAGCCAGGGGGCCATGAAACCAAGCAGTTGAAATGGGATTTTACTGACCGTCTGAACATTATTATCCAGCTGCTCATGGCCATACACATGCCACAGCCATGGCTAAAATTAAACAGTATGTCATATTCAGTGGGCTTTACAGTCACCAAATGTGACCAAAGCAAGTGTATTGGGCTGTGCTGCAACCTCATGCAAATGTGGCGCACTGGTGTGGCATTTACAGGGTTAAATTAGGCTGTGAGGAGGCAACATATCCCCTCCTCACTGCCTGTCAAATGCCCTTTAAAAAGCAATCTGACCATGAATCACTGTTCAAAGGGAACCACATGTGTGAACAAGCCCTTTCAGTGGTGTCAAACTTACATCCCTCCAGCTGTTTCAGAACTACAAGTCCCATCATGCCTCTGCCTTTGGGAGTCATGCTTATAACTGTCAGCCTTACAATTCCTCATGGGATTTGTAGTTCCCTAACAGCTGGAGGGCCACCAGTTTGATACCTGTGCCCTAGAAGCAAGGACTGCATCTCAGTGCAGTCTTTCAGCCATGTTGAATAGAAACTGTTTTGATTAAGGGCCTATTCACACTGTCCCGACAGCTGCATCAGCAGTTTAGTTTGCAACAGCTGTCCATTTTATCTGCAGTGAGCCAGTGATAGGGGACGGCTTGATGCGTTGTATTTTTTTTTTTTTAGTCAACTTTATTTGAAGTGTACAAAGTGACACTTCATTCATGTCACTGTACAGCAGTGTGCTGCTGTACAATGACATGCAATCCCATCCTGTATGCTGTGATAAAATGCAGCATGTCTGTATTTTATTGCATCCCTTTGCAGCACAGCTCCGGGCTGCATTGCAGTGTGAATGTGAAAGAAATATAGGGATACCTTGAATCTTGGCCAGTTCAGCAAGGCCTGGCGGAGATTGGATCCATCTATGGTCTGGCTGATTGATGGGGGGATCAGACAATTATCTTCCCTTCCACCTGTGGTGGTGGAAGGAAAGAAAATTGCATTATCTTTGGCCTGCTTATGGAGTTTTGTACTTATATTAAATTTGGAGTAATGGGGTGGACTGACAACTCATGGGGCCCCTGGGCAATATTGGATCATGGGGCCCGTGTCCTCGCCCACACCCAAAAAAGCCTATCAATGAAAGGTACCAGGGGCATCTCATGGGGCCCCCTACTGACCCCGGGCCCTCAGGCAGTGCCCGAGTGCTTGAATGGTCAGTCTGCTTGGAGACATACTGTATATATTGTTTCTCCTGCAAATGGCTGCTCTGTATGGTGCATGTGCTCCACTGCTCCATTTATTCCTAGGGGAAAGTGTATCTCATGGTCTCCTCACGCAGTCACTTGGAGTATGGTTTTATCATAGGAATACATGTGCATGCACAGGGTGTACATGTGCTTTACAAAAACAGCCATAGTTTTTAAAAGAAAGTTTGTACATATAGTGTTGTATCCATGTTTAATCCATATAACAGCTCATTATGTCTTCTAGCTGATGTACAGTGGAAGCCATGATTTATAATTACTTACAGACTCCATACTCTTCATTTTTTTGGTTCTGCAAGAAAATTCTTGTGCACTAACTGTAAATGTGATGAGTGATGTATTCTAGTGTGCAAAGATACCCGAACTGCTATGGTTTATCAACCATAACCCACAAACTCCTTTGCTGTGCATGGGTGCTGGATTGAACAAGTATTTGCAACTGGTTGTATGTGTGTTGGGGAAAAACAAACTATGCAACCACCACCTATTGGACCTTGAATAAGCTGGTTGGAGAATTTCAGCCTCTAAACATTGTTCTGCTATTGGTGTGAAGATGGGCTGATACCAGTTCTTGCATATTTAGAGGCTGTACAATATTTGGGTCAGGTTATTAGAAGATCTTTTCTATGGCCTGGTTATTCCTATAGCAGTGAATAGAAGCTTTTGTTTGCCAGGTTACTCTTTAAAATGCCTCTATGTAATTTTATAAAGTGTATGTATATTCTTTTATAGTGATTCTGTGCTTGATTAGATTTTTAAAAAAGCACTGTCTGTGGGACACAAAATTAATAAAACTTAACTCTCCTGCTAGCCATGCCACCAAAGGTTCATTGAAGAAAGTAAAGCAAAAAATGCTTTGGAAAGGCATCCAGGTTTTAAAAAGTGTGGATTCTGCATTTCTGGGAAAGGTTTTCTCAGTTTTAGTCAGTGGCCAAATATTCACCAAATAAATCATCATAAATTTCCATTTATAATGCAGATAATAGCTTTCCTTTATATTTAAAGTTTTACTGCTGTTTTTTTTAATTTGAACCTGTGTTAAAAAGAGGGAACCATTTTATTGATGAGCAGAAGATGGCACAGGATCTTGTAGAATTCTACACAGCTTATTTCTATAATACAGTTTCGTCTTTTGCCTTTCATAGTGATGGCCAGATTGTTCTGCATGTTGCATGCATCACTTTTCTAAAATGGAGGAACACTAGGTTGCTGTATTTTCTCTAACTTCCACTAGGGTCTCACTGCGCGGGTCTGTTTAGTACTACAGTGCTCGGGGCCTCTTCAAGTGCACCTAACCTTCTGGATTATGCTCGTGCTCATCGTAAAAAGCTGACTACTTCTGGCTGCATAGATGGTATGTGCGCATTAAGTCTCGCACACGTTTTGTGTGAAAAACCACACCTCTCATCAGAGGAGTACACACAGATATTTGGTGTGTTTTCATTTCTTTTTCCCACAACATATTTATTTTTGAGTTTTAATCATTTAACCTGGGCCATAATTATTTTTCACAGTGATAATATTGATGTAATAAATTTGTGAAAAACCAAAGAAGACAACTTTTTTTTTTTCTCTGATTATTATAGGTGTCTATTATATTTCTGGTTTTGGCCATTTTAATTGCAATTTTTGATTGAATTAATTTATTTTTAATTACATGAATGTAACCCTAGAACCAGAGTAGCCAGCTTTCCTCTTGGAATCTCTCCTTAATATTTCTAATGGGAAGTGTGCTAGTTAATCCAAGTACATTTCTTTGCTGTGGAGTGCACTGCATGCTGCTGAATTTAACAGGCTCACACACGGGGAGTTTCTTTATCTCCTCCTTTTCTTTTTTTTTTTTTTTCCTCTCCCCGTTTGGTAGCTGTTATGAATTTTTAGGTACCTCTTTTTTCTTTCTTAGACTCCACACGCAGCTCTGCTGTTAAAAGATTTTCTATCTCATTTGCTCGACACCCAACCAATGGTATGTTTTGTTTGTTTTAAATGATACCCCCGTGCTCCATTTTTTTTCTCTTTTTGGTTTTTCAGACATGGAACGCAAGTTCACTTCCCAACTTTGATTATTCATAACTCCATTGGCGTTCACATTTCACTTTTTTTTTCCCCAAAGAAGAATTTTTGTCATATGCTTATATATTGGGAAAGTTTATTTACAAATTAATTTTTACCAGTTAGGCATCATGGTCAATACACAATTTTAAAGAATTACAGCTGGGCACTCATAGAATATTAATATTACACCATAACGTTTATTCTAAAAAAAATTATTGTGTAGGACTCTGCACATGTATTTAAATATAATTTATATGAACCTGGAAAAATCTTCAGAATATTTTGCACCTGGCATTTTTAGTGTACTTTTTTATACTGTCATTAAACTATATTTCAGAATGGTAACTCAAGTTCTGTTGGGACTGGTTTTTAAAAACAATTTATTGCAATATGCAAGAATATTTCAATTTATATGTGAGTTTTTGGGCATTTGTTCCGAAAGGCTTTAAAAAAAACCTCACAGTACTACAAAAACCACAAGATGCACATTTTGAACTCATTGCTTAATTTTTTTGTAGTTCAGAGTTTTTTTTCTTTTTTGTTTTTTTTTTTTGTTTTTTTTTTTTTTTTTTTTTTTATTAGCGTCCAAAAATGTTAGTCTGCTTTGCTTCTATTTTCATTCTGGCTGTAATGGAATCCCCCCCCCCCCCTCCCTTTTTTTTTTTTTAACATGGAAAAGCAATATTGCAGGTGCAAACCTAGCAATAACAGATGCAAAGGTAAGTATATAGCAATGATGGCCAAGACCGTTTTTCTGCTTTAAAAAAAGTGCAAAAAATTCTTAGTGCATTGCCTTGTATAGTTTAAGATTTTGTATGTTGATAATCTTGGTAACATAGCAATTATAACAATCATAATATACCTGTCTCAGTTAACAATACATATGTTTGTATGTGTATATCTTTCAGGGTTTGAACTATACTCCATGGTGCCTTCCATATGTCCTTTAGAGACTCTCCACAACTCCTTGTCTTTAAAGCAGGTGGATGAATTTCTTGCTGCCATCGCAGCTCCTTCAAGTGACTGTCTTCTGGATACCCCCACTGCTTCTCCCTGTAGGCCGTCTTTTTATTATACCTTTTTATTCATATTTCTGTTTTTGGATGTCACCTGTGTCATATTTTGTAGTCAAGGATAGCTTTTGCAATCATGTGACATTAGAAATCATGGTAGCAGTTTCCTGCTGCATGCTTGACCTTCTCCCCACCTCCAGTCTTACTTGGTGTCCAGTGTTTGCTGCAGAAGTGATTTTGTTTTTTTTTTTTAGATAAATCATGTAGAGAATCCACAAGAGGGCAGGTGACAATGCTGAATCATTCTTGCAAGATTTTCTGTCACTTACTGATTACATAGATTATCCATGGGGCCACAGAGAGTAGTACTGATTAAAATCTGCTGTATTCCACCCAAAATTAAAAAAAAAAAAAAAAGATTGTGAATTTGTGCATTGAAAATTAAAGGTGCTCATCCTTTGGAAAATATCTTTTGTCTTTACTCACCATAAATGGGATGAGATCTGGAAAAAATACTATATACTGATACTCTGTCAAGCATTTAAAGCATATTAATAATGATTATTAACCGTTTGGATAATGAACAGAGATGGATTACCTTTTTACATGTATATGAATATTTTTTAAAACATTATCTTAATTCTGTACAAAGCTAAAAATATGGATTGTTTTTTCCTCTTCTTTCAGGTACACCTGGTTTTCATGTTGGTAGCAGAAAGGTGTCCTTGAATACATATACGCCAACGAAAATACTACCAACACCACTGTTTCCGAGCATGGACCTTTCCAGTTCAAGCACTTCCACTCCGTGTAAGTTTTCTTAGATAGAATTTCTGATTGGGAACTATTTTTTAAGAATACAGTGGGGATTATTTAATAAACCTAGAGAGTGCAAAACAAGTTTCACTTCTGCATAGAAACCAATCAGCTTCCAGGTTTTATTGCCAAATCTTAATTCAGTAAGATGAGGTTAGAAGCGGATTGGTTACCATGCACAGCTACACCAGATTCTGAGTGAACCAGCTTTAGTAAACCCCCCCCCCCCCATTGTGTCACTTTACACACACCTGGATCTGCTAAAAACAGATGGATGGGGGATCTGTAGCCCATCCATTGATTGGATGACAGTCGGATGTAAACAGACAGGCAGTCTGTTTACATCCAACTGCAGATAGAGGAAAGCTGGCTTTGTCTGTGTCTGCTCTGCACAAGCAGAGCGGAGATGGACCTGTCATCCGCCTGCTCAGCTGATCTGCCTGTGTGAAAGGGGCCTAATGCCTGCAGGAGGGTGCTTGACCAACTGCTATACCATGAAAACTTTGTAACAAAAGATAACCTGACTCAATGGAACCTCAATTTAATGAGGTGATAGATACCAAAAATAGAACTTCAGCATACAGAGAATGGTCACATAAATTCAGCACTGCTTTGTATGCTGAAACTCTGGGGTTTTTCTTTTTTTGCATCTATGACCTCCTAAAATTATTGGGGAATCATTGAAGTGCTGCCTTTTTGTCATGAAGCTATGAAAACCTGACAACTAATTTAACCCTTCCAGGTTGTACATTGGAAGCTTGAAGTACTTGTGAGCATTGGTAACACTAAGTTTTTCTTGCAAATGTCATGCTGACAACATTGAATGAGCAATAAGCAATCATTCATTGTTTTTCAAAACTCAATGTTGTGTGTGTCATCAAGGACAAAGCTCTGTAAGGTGGTTGTGATGAGACTGGGTAGTTTATTTACCTCTCTGCGTTGAGAGACTCCCTTAGAGAAGGTTATACAATCACTGGCAGAAATGATCATTTGTGTTTCCTTGTTTATATTAGATGGCGGTGGAGCATCCAACACCATATCTGGAACTGACCTTGTCCAAGAGGAGAGAGAGTCCACTGAGGTCAAAGCAGATGGCTGTATGCAAGCAACACTGAACCTGCATCCCTGATTACTTGCACTGCTTTAAAACTGGAGAGTGGGGTTACTTAAACCTTGTATCTATATGCAACATATTTAAATGATATTTTTTTACTGTAGTCTCAGTTTGTATATACTGATAAGACAGATGAATTGTACATAAAGTATTTTGTGTTTACAATACGCTTAACCAGCAAGCTAGAATGCTAATATTAAACTGAATCAACTTTCAATATGTGGCAATACAAATTTCAAAATGTTAGTGCTTGTTTGACCTGAATCAAGAAAGCTAAACTCTAATCTGCTGTCATTTTGAGAACTGACCACATGCTTGATCAATACAACCTATCATTTTTATAAAGCATAGTTCTGTGCTACGAATATACTGTTCATAATGGTTAACTTTATATAGAAAAATATTTAAAGTGGTTGTAAACCCTTACATATACCCAATGAAGTGACTGGCCTCAGATAACACACACAGATGAAACAAATCTTTCAACCTAAGTTGTACCTGTTTATCATTCTTTTCTTCTCTACATCCATTCAAAGTACAGAATTTATAAAGCTTGTCTCTGCTTCCAGAAAGCAGAGGGCGGAGAGCTGAAGTCACACTCTGTAAAGCCCAGTGAGGAGAGCTGATTGGAGGAAAGGGACACACCCCCGTTCACACGGCACACAGGAACAGAGTTGAGGACGTCAATCATAAGTTGTGTGCTGGAGGTCCCTCTCCTGTCACCTTTTTTCTATTGGTGTCAAAAACTTGCCAGAAGTGATTCATGCTGATAGAAGAATGAAGCAGCAGACAGAAATACCACTTAGCGCTATAGAGGAATATGCTTTGTTCATATTTCATGTCTGAGGTTTTCATCCACTTTAAAGAAAAATAAAAATCTGTGTTTTTATTAAGTAGCTTTTGTGCAGTGGCCTAAGATCCCTCACTTACATTTGAGTGGTGGATCTCAGAAGTGTCTACTCTAAGGCATTCCATTCTGTTTCTGAGAGTGCGGTTTGTCTTTATCACTGCTTCTCACCTATCTGCTTTTACTATATATCAATCAATGTTTAACTTGACTATTGTGGCCATCGCCGATTTCCTTTTTTATTTTTCTGATTAAAAAAAAAAAAAATTATATATTGGAATGGTTAGTGCATTACTAATATGACACATAAGACTTTCACAGTCTTGCATTTAGCAGGTTACGTTGGTGATCTTTATGCCTCTGATCCTGTTGTCTGCTGTTTCTGATATCAGAGGATAGACATGCAGGCATGATTTAACCAGCATGAGTGTGTATTGAATCCCATTGCCATGAAGCTTCAACTGCCCACACAGTGTGTCCGATTCATACACTTTCTAGGAAACTTGCAACATCCAGGCAGAGGGAGCTGCAAGACAATGAGACAGAGAAATGGTTAGCTTGAAGCCTTTTAGTATCAAGATAGGTGTTATTTATAGTGCACATGCATCTCAATATCACTGAAAAGCTTTTTTTGAGCCTGCATGTAAAAGCTTTGTAGCTTCCTCCTTTATAAGAGAACAGCATGATTCCAGTAGAATCATAATGTATTTTTATATAAATACACACACACTTGTACAATTATCTAAGGATTACACTTCCTTGATGGTTTTTTGAGCAGTAGTATAGTACAGTTAACCACAGCTAACCACACATTCTGGAATTTAGGGAAACATCTTCTCATTATTTGTAGTGCCAAAATCCACAGGGGAATGAAGCTTTGTGTTCATCGTTGGCATCTTGGAAAAAGAGAGGATGAGTCCGCTCCCACAGAGTTTTCCAACAATGAACAGTTATGAGCAAATTGGACATCAGAAGTGAACCACTTACAGGTGAAAACAATGCAGTGGGCCAGGAGGTTGAGTTATTTGTGGTCACCATTGGTACATTGTTATAGATAATCTACCATACTCATTTTTTTCTTTTTTACACTGTTTACATAGTTTAATGTCATTTTAAAGGCAACCCTAACAACTTTTAAAATGTTCGGTGCTTATGAGCAGCACACAGAACTTTTATAAAAGGCATATCATATTTAATTTTTGTTCATTGCTGCTTAAAGTGATGCATGCTGTTCTTATGCTATCTAACAGTACCTGTACATAGAGGCTGGTGTCCCCTTGTTTGGGTTTTCTGTCTTATGAGATTGTAACAATCAACCTCACTTCCACAATGCACAGAAAGTCGACCTGGGTGCAATGATGATTTCACACCTTTCTTAATTGGCTTGAATTATTTTTTGCTACTGACTGACATCAGCCAATATAATCTACTTCAAGCCAATCAGAAAAAGAGAGATTATGTCACTGTATCCAAGCAATCTTTCGTGTATAAAGGCAATGCAGATCAGACATCATCACAGACTGATCACAATGGGCTGCAGTGTGCTCCTTTTGATTATGTTGAGGCGTGCTGCGTTGGTCTTGCCTATTAAAAGTGTAATGTATCTCAAGGCACAAGAGTTTAGGGCATGCTACAATTTTTTGAAGCACAGATGTGTTCTGGTGGCACTGCAGTGTGCCAACACGTCTATGCTGCGGTACCATACATTGCTGTAACACATTAATTTTAACAGCTCTTGTTTGATATTTCTATACGTTTTGTAGGGTTTCTTGAACAACGATGTTTGAAAGGACAAGTTTTGTTATCCATAGCAACCAGCTCTTGCTACAAAACCTGGAAAATTTGGATGTTGTAGGCAATAATTTGTCATATAGAGATTTGCATACGTGTGTGGCCTAGGGTGGAGGTGGGGGGTAAATAAAGTGAACATAGGCTGGAAACTGAGCAGTGAATGCTCTTTACTAAAACTACACTTTTTTTTTTTATATATAAACAATAAAAATTATGCTGCTTCAAATTCTAAAATACCACATAGTGAGAAGATCTACTGACTGCAGACATCTCATTTTTAGTCTGTACTAGTTTTATGACTTTCTCTTTATGGTATTCATCTGTTACATTGGTTGTGCTTGACCCAGTGTTTTGTAATGTTCATTTTTATCAGCCGTTTACCAGTTCACAACCAAATATTTCAGTTACTTACATCTGTATCCATTAGCAGTATTGTTTTAGTATGTTATTTCTGTTACCTTGCTATAGTCCTTTTACTTTTTTTATTGAACTATGGGAATTGTTCACATTCATGTACCACAGAATAGGCTATAATCTATTCTAGCCTAGGATTGTGTAAATGGAATTCTGTTATTGTTTCTTATATAAAAAATATTTTTCCTTTTTGTTACTGTATGTTTAGCACTTGACATCAATTGTTTTATTTTACTTATATTGAATAAAATATAAATTATTTTGCTAAACTTGGTATTTTCAGAGTGGTATTGAAGAGCCAAAAGGATTTTATTTACTGTAGAAACTGTAAATATGTGTGCAATAGTCATGCAAGGTGCATTGTTAAATATTGCAATTATGCTGAACCTCTGCATCGAGGAACTGTTCATTTACATTAATCTAGAGGACTTTAAATTAAACCTAAACAGTATTCTAAATCAGGGGTCTCCAAACTTTCTAAACAAAGGGACAGTTAACGGTCCTTTAGGCTTTAGGGGGGCCAGACTGTGGCCAGTGGGATTAGGCAGTGACCTGGCATCAGTGGGTGTAAAATATGCCTCCTTATTGGCTTTAGTGGGAGGAATCGTACCTCATTGTTGGTATTTAGCGGAGGAATAATACCCTATCATTGGTGTCAGTGGATGGAATGGTCCCTCAAGAGCCAGATAAAGGCAAGCAAAGGGCCATTTCCGGGCTGCAGTTTGAAGACCACTGCTCTAAATAAAAGTTTTGTATTGCAGCCCGCGCCTTCCCTTCCCGCACTTAACTTAGGCAAATTTGTTAACCAGGCTTCCTCTGATTAAGCATCATCCTTTTTAGAGCAGCCAAATGATATATCACAACTATACTTGGATGCCAGCAGCTGATGGGAGTCTGGGGTTGCTGATAGGTAAGTGTTGAACATAGGCTTTATGATGGGAAATGCTGTGTATAACTCAACTGTCATGTGTATAACTCTCTGCCTGTCAGCATCTTACTCTGTAAGTGTACTGAGCCATGCATATGCAGCACAGTGTACTGTCTTGGCATGATTCTGTGCCGGGATATGTGCAGAAGTTGCGTCATCCGGGCCCAGTTAATCAAGAGGCCAAAGACTCCAAATATGCTGTACATACTAGCACATTATAGCAAAAAGCTCCTGGGGCCCAGCGTTTTTCATTTGGCTTGGCAGTTTAGTTTTACTTTAATGTGCATTGTTGTATGGCACTCAAATTTTGCATACAATGCATAAGAAATGGACATGTGCATTTCTTTCAATGCAGCCCCAATGCCTAAATACATCTCATCTGTACATTGTGGTGCATTGGCAAGGTGTATCTGGTGCCATTCTAAATAAATAGTATCGCTTTTTGTTGTGGTAATGCAGAGTAAACACACACAACTGTAAATCCATCCTTAGAGCCAGTTCATACCACAAAAACACACTGCTGATGCATTTATTAGAATTTTTAGTAACTTGTTCAAAAGCTTTCAGTTGGTAAGTTTGTGCCTGCTTCTCTAACTGCCGTTTTTTACGTACTGTGCTGCCGACTGTTTTTTTTTTTTTTTTTTTTTTTTTATCTTTGGCTATAGTTCACACAAGCTAATTTTATTAAATGCTATACTGAAGTATTACACAAAATGCACAACTAATTAACAATTGGCACCTCACTCCATTTTGATCAAGGTGACTGCATGGCTCAAAATTGTTTAGTGGACAGGGGGAAAAAAAAAGGATTTTTGTACTCATAAAATCCTTTTCTTGGAGTCCATTGAGGGACACAGGTCTCTGAACCCTGTATGTTTCTGCACATGCTTTTGGCACTGTTCGCTATAGAACTATAGCATGCTCACTTGGCATTAGGACTGGGGTTACCCTGGCCTGGCTCACAGTTTTTTGTTTGCCAGGCCTCCTGTAGGCGACAGTGAAACCCAAAGATGAAAGACTTCATGTGCCCCTCAATGGACTTTAAGAAAAGGGTTTTATGGTGAGCAAAAAAAAATGTTATAATAACTTAGTTCAAAGCAACACTCTGTATGTGCACTGCAGTTCAGGTACTTTGGCAGATATTGCAATAATGTATTGAGATGACATTCAAAAGGAATTTCACAGCACCATGGTTAGCTCATTAATGTGTTGTGCAACAGTGTGAAGGAGCCTTTTAGTTACTGGTCCACAATATGTATGCAGCTAATAAAGTAAGCACACTGTCTGTATAGTTCTCACAGAGTCACTTAAATTTGAAGAATTAGTGTGACAGCCACATTTTTAGAAATACAGCAAGTCTGTAATGACAGCCTCTATATAATTTTTAAATATTTCTGTGTGCGCAGTGTGTTGCCTATAACTACTAGATTCTAGACACAAACGTCCATATTATCCCATAAAAAAGAAGGAATATCTTTGCTGTCAACTTTTAATACTTAGCAGATTTAGGTTAGTAGACAGAATATGCCCTAAGAAGACATTCATGTGCTTGTCCTTTCAGATGTACTAGTAGACTGTGTACAGATTCTAAAATAGTTTAAAAATAGAATTAAAATCACCCTCTGAAGTAGAAAAGTTCTATTCTTTCATGTATGGAAAAGCTTCCTTGGAACCATAATACACATATACACTATATTTCCAAAAGTATTGGGACGCCTGCCTTTACACACACATGAACTTTAATGGCATCCCAATCTTAGTCTGAAGGGTTCAATATTGAGTTGGACCACCCTTTGCAGTTATAACAGCTTCAACTCTTCTGGGAAGGCTGTCCACAAGGTTTAGGAGTGTGTCTATGGGAAAGTTTGACCATTCTTTCTGAAGCCCATTTGTGAGGTCAGTCACTGATGATGGATGAGAAGGCCTGGCTCACGGTCTCCACTCTAATTCATCCCAAAGTGCTCTATAGTGTTGTGCAGACCAGTCAAGTTCCTCCACCCCAAACTTGTTCATCCAGGTCTTTATGGACTTTGCTTTGTGCACTGGTGCGCTGTCATGTTGGAAACTGTTCCCACAAAGTTGGGAGCATGAAATTGTCCAAAATGTCTTAGTATGCCGACACCTTAAGAGTTCCCTTCACTGGAACTAAAGGGCCAAGCCCAACCCCTGAGAAACAACCCCACACCATAATCCCCCCTCCACCACACTTGGCACAATGCAGTCAGGCAAGTATCGTTCTCCTGGCAACCGCCAAACTCAGACACATCCATCGGATTTCCAGACAGAGAAGTGTGATTCGTCACTCTAGAGAACACATTTCCACTGCTCTAGAATCCGGTGGCAGCGTGCTTTACACCACAGCATCCGATGCTTTGCATTGCACTTCGTGTTGTAAGGTTTGGATACAGCCGCTCAGCCATGAAAACCCATTCCATGAAGCTCTCTACGTGCTGTTGTGCTACTCTCAAGGCCACATGAAGTTTGGAGGTCTTTAGCTATTGATTCTGCAGACAGTTGGTGACTTCTACGCACTGTGTGCTTCAGCATGTGCTGACCCCAATCTGTCATTTTACGTGGCCTACCATTTCGTGGCTGAGTTGCTGTTGTTCCCAGTTGCCTTCACTTTGTTATTCCACGGTCAAATGTTAGTGGTATTATATTTAGTAGCAAAGAAATTTCACGGATGGACTTACTGCACAGGTGGTAACCTATCACGGTACCATGCTTGAATTCACTAAGCTCATGCGAGTGACCCATTCTTTCACAAATGTTTGTAGAAGCAGTCTGCATGCCTAGGTGCTTGATTTTATACTCCTGTGGCCATGGGGGTGATTGGATCACCTGAATCCAATGATACTTTTGGCAATATAGTATATAATGAAGGACATGTAGCAAACAAATTTGCAATAAAAGTAGATGCCAATCAGGTTCCCTGTCAGTTACCAAATCTATGGAACAATTTTTATTTATTTGCTGCATCTGTGCCTAATCCTTGACAGCCAAGGAAGACAGATTTAGTGCCGGGTCACATATGAGGATTGGATGCGGTTTGAATCACATCCAATTCACATGCCATGTGACAAAACATTGCTTCCTATGGTGCCTGTTCACATATATCCAGTGTAATGCCAGTGCGGATTCAGTGCGGTTTAAAAAAAAACAGTCCTGTCTGATTTCTGAGCAGTGTGTTCAGGTGCTGATTACAAGTTTTTGACTTCTATGGGAACCGATTCTAAACCACATATGTGTGAACAGGATAAGATTTTGAGCCAATCCTGCTGTGAACCTGATATAAACCTGACCTGAACCGCTGAACAACTACTGTATCAATTAGATGTGAAATCTGAGCTTCAATCCACACATGTATGAATTAGCTCTGATGCAGTTCTGTGAAAGAACTGCCATTAGAGATGAGATAAACTGTAACAAGGATGAGAGAATTTCCCCCAAAACAAACGCAGAATTAAAAAGTGGTCAGAGTCAGGTTTTATTGTCTCACAATGCTACTTTACAGCATCAGCATGAGGAATTTATGAATTAAACTGTGAAATTACAATTAATATGTCTCATAATCTGGTGCTCCTGTTTATCATAGCCTTGTTGTGTGACAGAATTGATCTACATCCCACAATGAACCGTCTGTAATTCCTGACCAAATAATGCCATATTTTTGTTTTCACAATTATTACAATATTTCCAAGGTGTGAACAAAAAGATAAAGTGAAAATAGAGGCTCTCATATGACAGTTTAGACAAGTACTAAATCTGGTTTCTATGTGATGCACAGGCCTCATGAAATTAACAGAAAACTTGTTATCTCTTCTCTAAGTGAGCCAAATCCTCTATCATGTTTTGCATTCTCCCGCTTAGAGCTCACAGGGATTCAGCAACAGAAGCAGTGTTTTCCATAAAGAAAGCAGTGTGCAGGACCAGGTCTTACTAGGTTCTAAATAACATGATACAAGCTTGTGAATCAGCAGTGACAGTAGTAGTGACACCACTGTAGGGCACGGCCTACATGAGAGTGGCAACTGTGCTCAGAATTCAGGAGCAGTGCAGCATCATTGCCACTGCATCACAGGAAGCTACACTAGGTGGATTTCACTGGCAGGATCAACAGGAATTTGTGGGACTTTGCATGAGAAAACTATTATAAGTGCATCTGTGTGAACAAAGTGACACAGCATATTTTTTTTTTTATAATGGGAGCCATATTGCTTATAAAATACCCTTTTCTAGATACTGAAACATAATTTACAGATAAAAATGTCAATGCATACTATAACAGAAGCATTCTCTGTCACTGTGAAAATGCAGCATGGGACAGTGAGAGCCAGATTTGGTGGTGAAAGGGTGACCAAGGAACTAGAACAAGTAGCTAGGGAGAGGGATCAAATGGAGAACAATGGGTTTTTCGATAAGCCCTCGTTCACGCTACCAATTAGGACAGTACACCTCTTATAAACAGAGTAAATATACAGTGGGAATTACAGGTGTGGGCCATTAGGCGCAGCAAGGAAGCCTGTATACACCAATGACAGGTATCTCAGCTGTCTGCATGTGTATCCCTTCTCTGTTACTCCGCACTGCCTCCCTACTGCAGAATGAGACTCCAAGGCTATTGTTTTAACTCCTAGTGGCATCTAGCTGCCATTCAGTGGGGGAGATGTACTAAAACTGGTGCACTCAGGATCTGGTGCAGCTGTGCATGGGAGCCAATCAACTTCTAACTTCAGCATGTTCAATTAAGCTTTGGCAATAAAATCTGGAAGCTGATTGGTTTCTGTGTAGAACTAGACCCAAGTTTGCTCTCTCCAGCTTTAGTAAATAACTCCATTGTCTCACTGAGTACTCGGGATAGCTAAAGTGACACAAAACTCACTTTTTTTTTTTACATCATTCTAAAAATATTAGGTCTGCCTTAGCTGCTTTTTTTTAAGTCACTTACTGTTGTTTTCAGGCCTCTACATAAGCTTGCACCAGTCTTCTAAACATAAAAAATGGAGAAGATGCTGTTCATAATTATAACAAAATGGGTGCAAGCTACTTTGTCAGTTAGGAGTGATCAGTTCTCTGTTCTGCTGTGGCTGTGAAGAGAAAGAAGAGCTGACCCCCCAAGGGAGAAGGGTTATTAACCCTGTGCAGACTCTGCTCGTGTAGTGTAATTATTGCATGATGAGCAGACAGGGATATGAGCTATCTACTGACAGGTCACACAGAGAAAACTGCCATATTTCCTCTCGTAATTAGGGGCAGACCTGTACTAGTTTCTAAAGTCTATTGTGATTTATTCTGTGAAACTGTGTGAACATTGAGTCTCTGTTTAAAGCTGCATTGTTGTAGAATATACAAAGTATTGTCCATGAAGAAACCCTTTCCTTTATTGGTAGAACTTTGTGATATTAATTTATTACTACAACTAAAGAGTTCCCATCTGGACATTCCTTTATTTACTGGGGAAGCAGCACTCCTGATTCAAGTACTTCTGTATGGAGGAAAGAGGACAGTCACCATTAAATATTTTTTAGGTTTTGTAGTGGCACTGATTGATATGGCTCTGGATGCCACCCAGTGTTCCTGAGGGGCCAATGGTGTGGCTGATGTTTTGCACACCTATTGGTGCTACCCTGGGTGTTTTGGGACTTTAGATTCCCATGTCAGGAACTTTTTGGGAGCCCCAGCATGATTAACGCAAAGCCACTGTGAGGTCCCGGGATTCCCCCCCAGTGGCCTGTGTGAAAATAAGAGGTGATGTTCAGGAGGCAGCTCTCAGACATAAATATATTTTTAACAGTTATACATGTTCATTTCCATATATACAGTGGATATAAAAAGTGTACACACCCCTGTTAAATTGTCAGGTTTCAGTGATGTAAAAAAAATTAGACAAAGATAAATCATTGCAGAACTTTTTCCACCTTTAATGTGACCTATAAACTGTATAATTCAATTGCAAAACAAACTGAAATCTTTTTTTTGGGGGGGGTAAACTAATATTAAAAATCTAAAATAATGTGGTTGCATAAGTGGGCACACCCTCTTATAACTGGGGATGTAGCTGTGTTCAGAATTAAACAATCACATTCAAAATCATGTTAAATAGGAGTCAGTACACATCTGCCATCATTTAAAGTGCCTCTGATTACCCCAAATAAAGTTCAGCTGTTCTAGTAGTCTTTCCTGACATTTTCTTAGTCACATCCTACAGCAAAAGCCATAGTCCGCAGAGAGCTTCCAAAGCATCAGAGGGATCTCATTGTTAAAAGGTATCAGTCAGGAGAAGGGTACAAAAGAATTTCCAAGGCATTAGATATACCATGGAACACAGTGAAGACCGTCATCAGCAAGTGGAGAAAATAAGGCGCAACAGGGACATTATCAAGGACTGGATGTCCCTCCAAAATTGATGAAAAGACTAGAAGAAAACTGGTCTGAGTGGCTGCCAAGAGGCCTACAGTAACATTAAAGGAGCTGCAGGAATATCTGGCAAGTACTGGCTGAGTGGTACATGTTGATGCAAACATGCGCATCAGAGATGGACGCAGTTCAACCATTTTGTTAGGCATCTCCATTTTCTCAACTCATCTTTCCACCCCTCCCTCTCACTGAGAGGAGACGTGGCCAGAGTGCGTGTACTGTGTATGGGTCACTGGCAGGGCAACGCATCCCTAGTTCGTGGCCGAGCGGTCTGCGAAAGTGTAGCCTTTCTCACCTAGGCCAGGATAAGGCCAGGGTTCCCAGGAGAATTGGAGCCTCACTGACCAAGGTGCCTCTGTAGTTTCACACCTTGTAAAACAGATAACGAGCCTTCCCAAAAGTTGAAAGAAATGCTGACCTGATGAGCCGAACTCAGTGGAGGTGACAGAATCAGATAAACTCTGTTAAACTCCATTTTTCCACTATTTCGCATATCTTGGAATATGAGAGACTTACATAAAAACCAGACATCCTGTCAGATTGGCTAGGAGCAGGCGAACAGTTTGATGGGTCATTCGAATTATCTCGGACCATCAGGGGAGCCGAAACCTATAACCCGTGAACCATGCAACATATTTCATAATTCATATCTAGATATTCCTCAGACTTGTCTGCATAATAATATACCCGCGGGTAAATTGTCACGTCTGCAGCTGGGAAGTTATAGACCAGAATATGAATTATGAAAGATGTTGGTTCCAATTTTGGGTTCCGCCTGCCGATCCCTCCCTAAACAGAGTATTGGTAAGTTACTCAGGACCACCCCCTGCTGGGAAACTTTAAAGCAGGCTGTCAAGCCTAAGAGAAGAGAGTTGAAGAATTCTCCCATTTTTCCATCGTAACATAGGGAGATCAAAGCACCCTCCTG